TTTACTGGGGCTGTAGGAAGTTTCTCTTCTGCCAGACAGCTCCCACCAGTTGACCAGAGCGGGGCCGATCCCAGGTGCGCTGGCTCGGCAGACAGAGCAGGGTCGCTTCCATCCCCTGATGTTGTACCCACCACCTCCTCCTGGCCTCTCGCTGCTGCTGGGCCATGGTGGCTGCTCCTTCTCCTGGTCCTCTAGGCCCCACTGGCATCGCCCTTCGTCATCCGGAGCGGTTGCCCCAAGCTCTCTCCTCCTCCCAGCCACGCCTGCCCTCCCCAAAACCCAGGTGCAGGCCTCCAGGGTGCACCAGGAGCAAGGCAGGGGCTGCCCCATGCTGCCGGGCTGCCACCTGAACCGCCCCAGTCCCAGCCAGGGGTGCAGCCAGCCCCCGCAGCCCTTCGGCTGGTGGACAGCCCCCGGACCTCCCTCCGAGGGCTGCGCTGCCATCGTAACTGTCTTCCTCCACTTCAAAGGCCCCATTCTCACACTTCCTTCCTTCGGTAATGAACCTTCAATTTCCTCCAGGTAAATAAAGTGAAACTGGAAAGAACTGTAAAACAAAACATAAAAGTAGCCGAGCTGGAGAGTTACTGCCCGCAGTGTCCCTGGGAATGGTTTTTCCTGTCCTCCCGCTGCGGTTTCTACCCTGTTCTCTCCCACTTTGTTTGCCCTTCCTTACCATTTTTTATCTGTAAGCTCTTTAGCATGCAACCTCCTCTTCACAGGAGCATTTGTACAGATGCTAATAGGTAGAGAGGCTCCTCCCATGGCTCCATTTTTATTAATGGGAGGATCAGAGAAATTACCACATTTTTAACATCTCTTTTGCAGTAGCTATTAAACTTCATGGTGTAGAAACAGTGAGTGGATTTTTGTTCATTTGTTCACAACACTGAACTCTGAGATAAATTCTTCTGTACAAGGTTTTTAGGTGCTGTGTTTGTTGCTCAGTAGGTTACATGGTATTTTCATTTGGAGGTGACATTTTACGTGACATTTTACTTTAGAACAATGGATGGGCAAAATCAAAATTTCAGGTCTGTAGCAGAAGAGTTATGTCTATTACTTAGGCTATTTAGTAACTTGCATCTTTTATAAATTCTGCCTGATTGCATCTCTTTTCATGAAATCCAGATTAAATGCATTTTGAAGAAGGGAGGGTGCTGACTGGTCACAAATGTGCTGGTCTGCAAACTTGCAGACCAGCTGTCCTACTCACTAGTGAAGATAAGAGGGCTCAGATGAAGGGGTTTGTGCTGCTGGAAACACAACCAGCTTTCTCAGGAGACTGCTTTGAGGGAGATTGCAGCAATATTGCATCCGCACTGTTACTAGTGGGTATTACCACACACATGTATAATTTGTGCTAGATAAAATCAGGAGGTAATAAAGACAGGTAAAAAGAAGAGGTGAGAGATCTGCTGTGTACTTTTTTTTTTTTTTCCGGGAGCAAAAATGTCCGGGGGATGCCACATTAACTCGGGGAAAAGCAAGGGCTGCTTTAAATCAGAAAACTTGTGTTATACCAAGTGCTTTATTTTGGGAACCATTTCAGTATGTTATGAAGGAAAGTTGCAGACTAGGCATGTTTACTAGACCTTTAATTGCTACATTTAGGAGAAAGGCACTTTTTTTTTTTTCCTCCGGGAGCAAAAATGTCCAGGGGATGCCACATTAACTCGGGGAAAAGCAAGTGCTGCTTTAAATCAGAAAACTTGTGTTATACCAAGTGCTTTATTTTGGGAACCATTTCAGTATGTTATGAAGGAAAGTTGCAGACTAGGCATGTTTACTAGACCTTTAATTGCTACATTTAGGAGAAAGGCACTTTTTTTTTTTTCCTCCTTACCCCCCTCCCCTTTTTAACGACAAGAAGCCAGAGTTTGCTGTGCAAATGAAGCAGGCTCTGCAAGAATCAGATTCACTTTGGACGACTCTTCACATTCCTAGTCATCATTACATTAGGCAGCACAATTCCATCTCTGGTTGATGGGCAGAAAAAGTGGGCAGCCTGCCAGGTAGACGTTTCCATGGCTCCCAACCCCCAAAGGTGATGCGTTTTTCAGCTAATTCAATGAAGAGTGGGCTGAACTTTGGGTATAAACTAGACAATAGCTGCCTTCGCAGTATCAGCAGAATGGTTTATGGGAATGCACTCCACATTTGGCAGAGCATCATGTGACCTTACGGCTGAGATTTTGTGATGGTGCCAACGGAGACTTGGAAAGCAGCGCCCGTTCTGACTTTTTTCCTCTTTTCTTACATGGCTCAGAAAATGGTGGATCTTAATACTTGACTTTAGCCAGACTCAGCAAGCGATTGAGCTTTGAAGCACAACTTTGCCTTTATTCTGGCTTTTTTGGCACACCACCAGGAGGCTGTCCCTTTCACGCCTGATAAATTCTGCTTCTTATCTCCAAATAGAAAAAAGAAAGAAAATATAAGCAGAATATTTATACTTCATAACTGCATTTTAAAACTACCTGTTTTATTTTTTTACTGCTGATCTGTAGTTTAGAACAGCCCTCCTGAGTGTCTGAAGGATAAAAGTTGTTTTTTATTTTTCTGGTGCTTTTTTTTTTTCCTTCCTCCTGTTTAATGAACAGGCGTTTGAACTGGGCAAACGGGGCGACAGCATTGAACATGAGATCATTGCAGCATAGTGTAGCAAACTGGCACCCTGCCTTTTCACCCCTTTGCTCCGGCAGATTTGTGCAATCCCCATTTATAAAACCGGCACAGGGGCGAGGTGAATTTTCTGGTCTCTCCCCACCTCTAGTCCTGTGCAGGCATTTGCGGCAAGGATTGGTGCAGCTTTTGCGCAGTGCTTTGTGCCTGGAATTCCGAGAAGAGCGAGAGAGAGAGAAGACAGGCATCCTGGTCTTCTTCCGAGAAAGAACAGGAGCCCTAAGAAGAAGAAACAGATCTGAGTTTGTCCTACATACAAGAGTGCAGACAAAAAAAAAAGTGACTCTCCTGCTTCCAAAAAAAAAAAAATCTGGCATGTTTCACTACAGAGACATCAGGATGTGTTAGAGCTTCTTAAAACAGTGTAACAAAATGAGCCTAGGAGATTGATTCTTTTAGTAAAAAAAAACAAAAAAAAAGAAAGAAGGAATGAATTTTTTGTTTGTTTGGTTGGTTTTTTTTCACTATTGCTTATATAGCAGTATTTGGCACTGGGTGAAAACGTACCTTTCATATCAGGTATAGCTTCTTTTTCTTTTTTTCCTCTTTTTCTTTTTTTAAGCCGTTTTAAACATGTTGTTTTGAAACTGAGTCCTTGTGTATTAATTTTAACGTAGTCAGCTGTTCACACTTTTTAAAACTAACTTTTTGGGGGTGTGTTTGATCTAATACTGCTAAAAATAGAAAGTAAACAAAAAATCGAGGGTCTATAGAAATAAATGGTTAGGCACATTTTGTCTTAGCTAAGCACTGGAGTGATGCAAAGACCTTAATGTTACATTTATTCAGTCTAAGCTTTGGTTATCTCTAAGAAAGTTGTGGGTATTTAGATCTGGTTGCTAAGGAAAGTAAATTCTTTTTTTATAGTGTGACTCATGCTTTCAGTTTCTAAAGAGGGGAAGAGAAAAAAAAAAAACAAACGTATTAAACTGTAGGAAAGGATCGCGCTTGTAGCCAGTATATTAAAGTTATTATTGAGTTAATTCACATATGAGTTTCTTACAATTTGTATCTAAATCTATTACGAAGAAATCAGTGTAATAAGCACTGGCATAAAAGGCACATTATTGGGACATTCATGAAGTAAGCCTGGTTTGCAGCTAGTAACAGTGACTATTTTAAGATGTTTGGTGAAGCAGCACTTGTCCAGGAATAGCTGAAAACAGTATTTAAGATATCCGTTCAGAATGTTTGTGATAAGTGCATGCAGAGTTAAAGTAAGTTTTGACTATATGACGCTTTAGTAGAGCCTTTTTCTTAAAGCATTTGTCTGTCTGTTGTAACGTATTACTAGGCAATTAGAAGAATGTGTAACAAAATTCATTCTGACTGACAGATTTTGAAAAGCTCAGCCAATTTGGTGTTTTATGTATTTTGGATTTTTTTTTAATATTTTCCTAGCCTTTTTAATTTATGTTAAAAATACAGATGTCCTCAACTAGAAATTACTTTGAAACTTACAGTGTCTTTTTCATCAGAAACTCTGATATTTTTTTCAAAATGTTCATGATAGCTGTTTGTCTAATAAAAAGCTTTATAAATATATTATGAGTTTAAAAATAGAATTGTTTTAACCTGTGCTTCACTTTTTATACATTACTGATTAGACAGTAACTTCTAAGATTATATGCTAATTTTCCCACCATATATTTTTGTTGTTCTGCAATGAATTCTGGGAAATTGGTGAATGGAGACCTTATGTATATGACACATATACCTCCATTCACCCATTTTGTACCAGAAAGTGTTTCTTAGATTTATGGTGATACTGCTCTCCTCAATAGTTTTGTTAGAATAATTACGTATGTCATTAGTACCTAAGTCTGTTGAGAAACCAAGGCTTGCATTGGCTTAAAAGAACTTTTAAAATTTCTATATCTGATCATAGTAATTACATCTTTCTCTTTTTTTTTTTTTTTGCTGTAAAGTTTTGCAAACATTTCTTGATTTAAGCCATTTAGTTTATCCCAGTATTTTTATGAAGTTCCATACCAAACTACCTCATTGTATGCACTATTTGATAAAAACTATTTATTTTTGTTAAACATGCTCCTTCCCTTCTGGAATTCATAATAAAAATAAAATATTTGTGGGGTGAAAAAAGACTAGGAAATACTAAATGAAGTAGTCCCTTTGCCAAAGTGTGTGTGTTCACAGCATGTCTTCCCATGGCCCTGAGAGGGGCGTCAGCAGTGTGTCGGGTTTATATCTTAAAAGCATGATTACTAATTTTGTGTATGTTTCATGTTGTTCTGAAAACACTTTACATAAAACAGATATTTCAAAATCTTTCTCTCAATTCTTTTTTATTTTAGTGAAAGAAAAAAAATTAAAATGAAAAAGGAAACTGAAGAAGTTAATTATACCAGAATTCAGCGAAGGTAATACAGTGATCTTAAATATTTTTTTTGTTAAAAAATAAAGTTAATGGCAAGAACATGAAGCAGGTTAGCTTTAAAAGAATTTCTTTCCTTAAGAGAGCCTACAAATGTAATTTCACAAATACTTATTAAACTTTTGTTCTGATTACTTTCTGTTGGGAATATTGCAGTTTGGGTAGACTTTATACTGTATGTTTCCATGAAGCTTTAGAATGAATTGAAAGATCAATACATAACTTGTTCTTTTGTTATGCCTAGTACATAGCACATATATATTTACTAATATATTTATATTACTAGTATATTTATAGTACATATATCTATTTGCTAGTACATAACTATAATGCAGTGATGAATTATTTTTGAAATGTGGAATATCTATTCTATTCACACAAAAAAAAAGAGAAAGAAAATCAGAGAAACAATTTTATAGCACTTATTACGGTCATTCAGTAAATTTTATATGCATTCTTATTTCTGATACTAAGATAACTATTCTAGTTTGAGTTCTTGTCTTACATATTCTATCTCCTCAGTGTCAGCAGAAAACAATTATAAAAATATCATTCCTTCTGAATGCTGAAGTGTTGTATATAAAGTGAAAGCAGGTTTAAAACAGACTGTTCTAGAAAATAAATTAAAATTATTTTAAAATGCAAAAGGGTACGCTTGAACGTGCAAGATTTAATCCACTAAGTTAAAAAATAAAAGAAAAAAAAAAAGGTCATTTACGAATGCTCAGCTGTCATTACTGAACTAGAAATACATGTTTCAGTCTGCAAGAAAATGAAGCATTGCCCTGATTCCAAAACTCTGTTACTGGCAGCACTCATTCTCTTGAAAGGAGTTTTGCCTGACTAGCAATGGCAGAATTAGGCCTTCAGTGGGAACTAGTGGAAGGCAGGCATTAAAATCTTATTTGGATACAGATTTCAGTAACCCACTAAAATCATAAGAGACCTTTCTATAGCACCTGGTTTTAAAATTATACCTGCTTCTTATCCCTGTATTTTACGAATGCATTTGTGGCTATATTGATACAAGTTATTCTAATGTGTCAGATACTATGCTTAAAGATGCAATATTTATCAATGGTTTCATTTAGAATATGTAAGTTATAAAACTGTATCTGTGTCTCACCTTTCTGAATTACTGGTTATTGCCTCAAAGGACCTGTTTTCTGTCTGTTGCGTAGGACACACTACATTCAGTGCGTGATAATTTCTGTCGTACTGCTTGCCGGTCACAAGAAGAGAGTATTTGTTGTAGGAGTTAACCCTGAAGTTTTGCAAGATTGCGTTTCTACTTGCATTCTTATTATTAGGGACTAGCATTGATGGGAGGATTAGTGAATAAAATATACAAATTAACTGCTTCGATTAATAGGTGTTGTTTAATCAACAAGTTATTGTCAAGCAGTACTTAGATGCCCTGTAATATGAAGAAATAGCTAAGCAGTCTTTAAAATGTTGTACAGGAGCTGCACTACAGTGTGCCTCATTGCTTTTCAGATTTGGTGGGGTGATTTTTATTTTGCGTTGTAGTACATGATATGAGCTCAGACACAAAGGACAAACCTGTATTGTTCACTTCTATGTCACGTCCAATTATGGATTCCAGTCTTGCCTGCTGTGTGCATGCTATAGTCAGATGCAAGTTGTTGGGAGTTGAGAGTTCATTGGTAAGGCAAAGTGTGCGCAAATGGACATTAATTCCTGCTGAAGACAAAACAATGTTGTGCCGTCGATCTGTAAAAAAAGTGTTTTTTCTTCCTTTTTCAAAAAACAAACTAGTTATAAGTCTTTGGCTTGTTCGGTGCATCCACCATTTATGCAGTTAAGTTTAAAGTAGCCTTCTTTGCAATAGATGGTAATATTTTTACTCTTAAATACTCGTTACATTGATTCATATGTTTGTTTGTTTAAAGTCTCTGCGTCTCACTTTAAAAGGAAAATGCTAATCAACGATGCCAATTGGCATAAACCCGTAGATCCGATCTTGTGTTGAAACGTACTGCACAAGCTCGCTTCTATGGGTCTGTGTCAGTATGGTGATCTGGCAAAAGTTTATGTAGCACGCAATGCAGTGGTATTTGACAACAAGCCCAAGTGACTGTACAAAACTATATATTGTTTTTGGAATGCTTCTCTTGTCCTTTGCCTTATCTTCAAACTTGATTAAGTGATTTTTTCTTTTATCGGTTGCTTTAAGCACCTTTGGCTTAATATCTTATTAAAATTTACAAAGAGATGTGAGGGAATTGTAGGGTTTCCAGTGAGGGAGAGTAGGATATACCATTTGCTGGCTTTATTAAATATACCGTTACATGATATTACATTCAAAAAATGTAGAAAAAACAAGACGAGATTTATATTTTATTTTTATTGTAAAATAAGACCAAATGGTCATTTCTTTCCAGAAATGTAGTTGGACTTGCACCATTCCTATCAAATATGTATGTATATATATACACATAAAACTCACATGTATGTATCTTTATACATATGAAACAGGATAGAACAGAAATTCTACCTCTGCAGTAGAAAAATCTATCTAAGAATATGCCTTATCGTCTGAAAAGTGGGGAATAACTGCAGTTGAAAGCCTACCCCCATGGGAAATATATAAGCCTGTGGCTGCTGTCACATTTCAAAGAAAGGCTGAAGAAGTGAAGAAGACTTTGTGGTCACCGTCGGAAGCTGTGTGCATCCGGGTTGAGGTAGTAGGTTGTATGGTTTAGAGTTACACCCTGGGAGTTAACTGTACAACCTTCTAGCTTTCCTTGGAGCACACTTGAGCCATCGAGGAATTCATCACCACTTTAATATGATCAGGGAAAGTATGCAAAAAGGTATTGTGTCATGGCTGTACATAATAATCACTCTGAGGCTTTATTGATGTTGAAATAGTCCTGATTACTTGATTATTTCATTTACTTCCTGTTATGAACAATGCTAACATGTTGTCTTAATGGACTGTGACTACGTACTGCAGACATTTAAGGAAAGACTGATGATGATTTTAATTCCATTAACAGGAAAGCTTTAAAAGTTTATTTTGATTTATAAATTCAGAAAAATATCAAGTATTTAACGCTTTATTCTTTCTTCATAGAAATAGCTTATCCTACACAGTTGATTTTTGTCGCTGTTGTTATATAGGTGCACATTCTTTTTTTAAAGGGAAAACCCCAAATTATTCTGTCCTTATAATACTTTCCAAAAAATATTGCATGCTGCTACTCGGATAGCGGCGGGCAGTGTCACAAGTTGATCCTGATCTTCCCTGGATTTATGATATTCTTTCTTTGTGCCTGCACAACTCAGTGTTACGAACACAGATCCAAATGACCTGCAGCCCTGCCTGTGTTTCCACCGTGTCGTGATTCATGTGCTGCTCAGCCTAATCCCGCTCTGGGGTCTCAGCATGCATGTCCTTACACAGCATGTCAGCCTGACCCTGACCCACGATACCCTTGTCATTTTTGGCCCTGACTGAAGTTCTGACGCATCTTCCTAACTCAGTAAGACTTGGAGAAGTCACATTCCCTATGCGAGTGGTTCCCAAAGCACTGGGCACTGCTGGCAGCGGCAGGTCCCAGCGCTGCATGCCTCCACCCATGCGGGTTGGGTGCCACGGACAGAATTAGCCATCCTCAGTCCCTGCGTTGCTTGTACGTCTGGCACGCCTTTTATAAAAAAGCAATACCAGAATGCACCAAGACAAAAAAATGTGTATCTGAATAGGGATACGAAGGCGTGCTTGTGGAGGTTTATGCCCCGAGTTGTGCATTCCTATTTCATGCTGGTTTTCAGTCTTCCTTATCTTGGAAAAAGAAAAAAATCCCTTGAGATGTGTACATCCCATAAGCAGGTATCAAAGAGAGAAAAAATAGTGAGTGTTTTCACAGTTTAGCCATTCCCAGAAACAGTTATGAAACAAGAGGGAAAAGGACTGTGCCTGCATATCCACCATGATTTTTTAAGTGAGGCCTGCTTCTGAAAATGACCTTAAAGATGAGGTCTCCTCAGTGTGACAGAAGGCATTACTGCCAAAGTAGAAGCATCTGGACCAGACAGTGATGCTTATTCCAAAATAGCGGGAAAAACTGATGCTGTCTGTTGCCATGTACTTCTCCATAAAAAGTGAAAAGGAGTAGAACTTAATAATTTATAATTAATAATAGCAATAATGATAATCTTGCCGGAAAATGATTTAACGTTTGGTGATATAAAGCAAAAGAGCTGAGCCGTGCCCCTGTGGTGCTGTGGTCAGGGGGACGCCACTGAGGTGAGCTGTGGGCATGCCAGACTCCCGTGGACTGAGGAGAGGGTGAAACGTGGCTGTCCCACGCCGGGGTGAGGGCTGCAGTCCTAGAGCTCCCAAGTTAACAGCAATTAGGTCTTTCTCCAGGGTATTTTGAACCCCTGCATTTCTTGCTTTACTTTTGTTACAGGTGACCATAACAAAATATTTGATATTTCCAATGTTTAATTGTTTTAGGTTTTGCATCAGCAAGGAAAGTTAAGGATGTTTATTTTAAATGGATTTGATACTTGCCTGTGTTCTGGTTATTGTTTTCCTTTCAGTTCCGCCTATTCAAAAAAATCACTTGCTTACAGGTCCCTGTGTTTGACTCTTTCTACCTCAGCTTAAGGGTTGCCTAACCACTTTCCTAGATAAGGAATAAAAAGAGGAGATGAAAACGATTTAGTCTCTCTTTCTAATAGCATTTATTTTCAGTGTTTAATGTTTGTAATAGGAAATTGGTAAAGAGGATCTGCATGACAGTTAGGTGGATGTACAATGGATTTTAAGCCTGTCTTAAAGTGTGTGGGAAAGAGGAGAGAGGAGGTTGAGTGAATCAGAGCTACTCCAAGCTAATGGAAAACGCTTAAGGGGGCAGCGGCTAAACGGGGGGATAGAGAGGAGACCTCCATCAACCGATGAAGCTTAACAGGGACCACTCACAATCTGAATAAAACCTGTAATATCCTCTG